ACATCGCTACAACCTGCAACAACGCATCCACTCCATTCATCTGTCCAAATCTCTTCTGATTTGCAGTGTTGTTCGATAACAGAATGGCTAGAATCTCTGATGCATACTGTTTGTTACTATTAAACTCTCGTACTTTTATACGAGCCTATAGCCATTTCAAAATTTTGGTCTTCTCACAAACAAGCCCTTACACTAATGGCTTGACCTCAATGAGGTTCTCAATTGTAGACAATGAATTATAAATGGCAGTCGATTCATCTGGGTCAGAATCTTTTAACTGCGAAAGGTTTGATACAAGCAAGCAACTACAATATTCTCAATGAGTGCATCAATAAGGACCTGCACAAGCTCATTGTTGTCCTCAATGACATCTGCATCAGTAAGGTCATGTAAAAGAGTGACGGCATCAATAGCGATATCACTGTTGTCAAGGTTGAGTAGACCGATGATTAAATTAACACTGCCGAAGCTGACAAGGTCCGGATAGAGCTTGGGGACTCCAGCAAGCATCTTGAGCTTCTGGAGCTCGTTGCAAAGCTCTACCTTCGAGTTAGCGAATTTGTCGGGCTAATCAAGTTACTTGAGGCTGGTGGTAGTGTTTGCGTTCAAATGGCGCTCGAAGAAGAGGGCTAGCTTTTTTACGGTTTTAAGGTCGAGACTTTTAATGGGGTTTTTGCATTTGTTCTAAATCGAGGTATCCATTGGGTAATTCAACGATTTTCCTAGTGCAGTAGAACCCTAAATTTTGTTTTTTAGTGCAGCTGAGCGACGGATAGGGAAAAATAAGTGGAAATGGCTAATTAACGTATCGAAACAATTGGTGGAAATAGCATAATATGCCCCCCAATATTTCACTTCTATTGCAATTAGGTATCAAACATTTGTAAATGATCATTTATGTTCTCGACTTTTACTCTAGGACCATTTGAGTCCCAATTGAACAAATTTTTTTTTCCTTTGTCTTAAGTTAACGTTCAAATCCTGTCAAAAGCAATTTTATTTTTTACCCCTTATCTTTGAGATAAACAAATCAAATAAATAGAAACAAGAGAACATAAAGAAAAAGAAAAAGAAGGACAAAAGACAAGGATATAAGAATGATTTTCGAGAGAGATTTTTCCATCACTATCCTCATGCCCACCAAAGATTTTCGGAAGGTGAAGCAATGATTAAAATATCTTCATATACGATTTTATTAATTTATTTGTTTTTATATAACTTAAAATTTGATACTTAAAAAATAGATAAGATTTGGGACAGGGACGGCCAAGGTTATTTTGTCATCCTACAAGGACATACTTTTGTTGTTTTCAAAAAGCATATTTTAATATGAGAGTGTTAAAAAAGATAGAAGTAACGACATGAGGATAGCACAACACACATCGTCATTTCGTGTGCTTGCCTGGGATTTTCGAGATGTAGAGCGTGACATCTATCTCCTTATACAAAATCAAGACTAAATATTTATCACCCGCTTGGAAGCAACTAATAGTATTTTTGGATGAAAATCATAATTAAAAATAAGCTTTGCTAGTTGATAAAAGTTAAAATAGAATATCATAAATAAGAGTTGAAAGACAAATATGATAATGAAAAAAAATTAAAACTATTTAATATAATTAAAATGTGATAGACCGAGGGGTGTCAAATGGAGCATGTGGATAGCTCGGTCTCGTAAAATTAAGAGCTAGAGCACGAGCCAAGTGACTTGGCCTGTTTGGGGGGCCAAACTGGCTTAACTTGTCCACCGGCGAGCCATTCGCGGGCTTAATGGAAGCAAGATGCTTGTGGTGAATAATGACTGTTTTTAGAAGTGATCGTTTTGGTCACTGTTCAAAAGTTTAGCAATTGTTTGCAACAGTCACTAAACTTTTAGAGTGACCAGAATGGCCATTGAATTTTCCCTTTTTCTCTATAAATAGCCATTGTTGGGTTTCATTTTTTTTTTCACAACATCAAAAACTCTCTCGTTCTCTCCCTCCCACAATTTATCAACAATTATGCATATAGGCCCCGTTTGGTATCCATTTTTTAAAAAATGTATTTTTTTCTTCTTCTTTTCAACCACACATTCTTTATTAAAATAATATTACACGTAAATGAAAAACTTTTACTTATTTTTCAACCACACATTTTTCATCAATTTACTATTTCAAAAATGCATTTTTACATAAAAATGGTTCCCAAACACCCTCATAATATATTACTATATTCATTTTTACAATTTCATCATCTTCAATTTCAGTTATTCAATTTCAATTCATTCAATTCTCACACTACAAAATTACAATTATGAATTCACAATCTTAAACATATTATAGATCTTTCCGTACTCTTTACTTAAGTCCTAGTACTTACTATATCGTCTATACATTTTGAATTTCATCACAATTCACAAATAGATCCACATTCATTTGTTAAGGGCTTGATCAATGTTGGAGTTGAATTACTCTATGATCCCGCAAAGTTAATATCGGAATCAATTTTTAGGTCTAAATGAAGTACCCATTCCTGAAGATATTCCAAATTTGGCTGTACATGGAAGCAATAATCTAATTGATTTAGATGACGTTGATGTTCTTGAAGCGGAACAAGAGGGAGAACCTGAATTAGACATTCTCGACGATAAAAAGGGAAAAAATAGGCAAAATGTTGGGATCACTTCAAATTAAGTTCAACGAGTTATGTTATCGATGGAGTCCCAGAATCTAAAGTAGTATATAAATGCTGCCAACAACGATTGGCATGGCAAAAAAGCATTGGTATCACTCACTTCAACCGTCACTGGAAAGCGTGTGCAGCCAAATTACGGACTTCTTGAAGCCGGTCAAACACAACTGCAATTTGGTAGTCCAGGCACCGGTTCTACGACTTCGCCCCTCACCACATGAATGTATTCGGAGGAGAATACTCGAACGGGAATGATAAAACTTGTTATCGGTGCTGAGTTGCCTTTAGCGATAGCCGACAACCAACATTTCATATAGTACGTAAAAGAATATCTTCAACCGAAGTATGTTGGGGTAAGACAAAACACTCTTTATTCAAATACAATAGATTATCACTTTCAAACAAAACAACAATTGATTATGGATTTACAAAAATATGGGGTGTTATATATTTAACTTCTAATATATATGAGGGGTTTAATAAAAGAACTTATATAGCTCCACATTACATAAACATACTTTGGTGTATGCATAAAAAATTATTGCTTTTAAAATTATTGAATTTCCTCGTAACGTTAATAATATATATAATGCTATTATGACCATTATTAGAAAATATTACTGCGATAATAAAATTCGTTCTTTTATATTCAACAACGTTAGTGTTAATAAAGTAGTTATCGATAAATTTGTAGGGTATTGCAACTTGATTTCAATTGTTATATGTTTCATATTCGTTGTGTGCCATATTTTAAATTTAATTGTGCAAGATAATTTAAAGCATATTAAAGATGAAATGCAAAGAATTAAGAATGCACTAATATATATCACGATCTCTTCTAGTAGAAAATAAGTATTTGAGGAATTTTGTGCCGAATTTAGGATGATGAATGCTAAAACATTTGATAACGACGTAGGTCATAGATGGAACTCCATTTACTTATTATTAAAGTCATGTGAATGTTTTGAACATTTAATAACTGAGTTTTATAACAATAGGCATATTAGGAATAATGACCTCACTATTTTGAATGAATCCAATTTTCTTCTAGCTTTAAAAGTTTAAAAGATTTTGACAAGTTTTTATGACATTACAAATATTTTATCTAGAGTTTACCTTCTCATTAGCTGTGTGGTGCTCAAATGTCTTTATATAATTGCAAAGACATTTCATAAATACAAAAATGACCTCAATTTTAGTATAATTATATACTTTAAGGAATTAAAATTTAGAAAATATTGGAAAAACTTACCTTTGTTATTTCCTTTAGCATGCATCATGGTACTTGATATAATTTATTAGGAACTAAATATATAATTGATCAAATTTCAAGAGTTTTAACTTTTAATACACCTATCATGTATAGAAATTTAGAACAAACTTTATTTGAAATGTAGGAATTATATGTAGAAAGAATGAGTACAAATATTAATCAAGTACCATTTGCACCTACTCGTCCACTGATATTGAAGAAGATGATGCTAAAATATTAACTTCATTTGAAGGCATTAACAAGTATAGATATGATGAAAATGCAATAAGTTCATCTAGTAATACTTTATTTTCTGCATGTAATTAAATATCAGAGACAAGTTAAATACATTGTCTGTTAAATTAATTGATTACTTTAATCATAATATGCCTACTAACAAAACAATTAAAAAAAGTTTCGAAAAAGTTATTGAATTTTGCGAAGGTACGAACGACGATGGCCAATAGTTCTGCAATTGCAAAACACTTCCTGACACCTCTGGAAAGCATTGTAGTTTCGGAGTTTGCTTTTAAGGTAATCCGAAGTTAAGAGCTGATTGAAAGAGATATTTTGGAAGCATTAATATGCGTGAATGATTGACATGACCCTTATTTTCGACTACAAGATAAATATGTCGAAATTGTAGGTAAGTGATATTTAATTTAACCATATTATTCATAGTTTGTTATTATATAATATTGTTTTTAATTTTTTTTTAAAAAATTGTACACGACTACACGATACAAGTTGTTCGCGTATAATTTTTAATTCCGACTACTCAAAATTTAAATAGCTGGTCCCAAATTCAAATAAAGGAAAATGATTTATATTTTATCTATTTTTTCAAAAAATATATATTTCACGAGCTCGAAATTCGAAGCTCGGCTCGAGCCATGGGCTCGAGGGCCTAGACGAGCTCACCCTTGGCTCGACTCGACTCGACTCGACTCATTGCCACCCTAGGTATAGACCATCCAAAGAAATTAGCCATCACGTATAAAACACATAATATTGCTGAAAAGACATATTTGCCCAACGTGTCTTCTTTCCTTCCCAGACATATAAGCCTTTATGTCAGGTCGAGAATTGGTGATGCAAATGGAACTCTCCAGACTCTTGGACTCCAAAGTCCAAACCATAGACTTCACTTCAGGTGCAGAGCCATTCAGTTCTTCACTGAAAAATCAGGATTTCCTCCACGCACAACACAAACTTCGTCAGAATTTGTGAAGAAGGCGAAATGGAAGCCCAGAAAAGGGTACTCTTACTATGCGGAGATTACATGGAAGATTACGAGGTTCCCTCACCTTTTTTCTTTTCAATTTCCTGTACTTTAACTATGATTTCTCTATTGATAATATTAATCGTTGAAGATTTGGTTCTGATTTAAGTTAGATAATTTAATGGCATTTTTCAGGCGATGGTTCCATTTCAAGCATTGCTAGCATATGGGATCTCCGTTGACGCTGCTTGTCCTGGAAAGAAAGCTGGTGACATCTGTCGCACTGCTATTCATCAGTCTTCTGGTCACCAGGTCTATTAAACTCTGCATTTACTTCAAAAAATTATTGTTCTATGCGTGTATATTTTGTAAATTGCTGTTGTATGATTCTTGGTATATAATTTTGTAAGTATTATGCCCAAAGTCCAATCAACTTTGGACATAAATACTTTTATATATAATTAATGCAATTAAATGGCAGATCTATTATTTAATTAATAGACAATTAAATAAATAATAGAGTCCGTAGATTCAAATATTTGTAATTTGTTAATCACAAAGAGTTGTGATTGTGAGATACAAATTACATCTGATTGAATCTTAAATCATCCGTGGTCGTAAGTAATAACGAGATACGGATATCGTTATTACGGATAGACCATCATGTGTGGCATTTCTTACTTGTGAAGTAAGTAGCTGATCTCACAAGTTAAAGTGTGATGACACTTAAATGAACACGTGGATGTTTTGTTATAGAACAAAACATTGGAGACCCGTCGAGAGATTCCACATGGATAACTATCCGAGTGTCAGTGGTTAATCTCTAACGTTCGTTAGTGGAATTGGTCCTTTGATTTGAGGTTGTCATGGTATCTTATATGAGGACAGTCATACTTTGGCGGTGTTAGATGTTGCTCTGAAAAGGGCCGCTAATACGACATCATTCGGGTACGTCAAAAATCGTATGAAGGTTGTGATTGATCAATAAAGGATTCGTCACTCTTAGATAGTAGGAGATTATGATCTGCGTTTTATTCAATTAAGTCAATGATGAAATCTTTGGCCAAGCTGTACTCATAAGTCGAAAAGGAGTTTTCCATTTATATTGACTTAATAGTGGAGTGAAAGATATGATCGATGATCGAGATTGACACAACTCCATATCTCGTAATTGATCGGATCATATTGACGAAGGGATTATAGTTTCACGGTAAACGAACGAGTTTGGTTTTGTCATACCACGTGACATTTCCCGTCACATGTATTGTCCTGACACATTACTAGATGTCAATCAGGGACGGCGAATGTGAATTGACGATAAATTAAAAGGGTGTTTTAATTTATCAATTTTGATTAAATCAAAATAATATTTCACGTCGTTGGGCATCGTGGTCGGGAACCTAATGGGTCCCACACAAAAGAGAATTGGAAGATTGCAAATTGCCAATTGGTTAATTTAACAATCGTTGGATAAATTAATTAATTGGATTTGTTATTTATATTTTCGAATTAATTAATTGGATTAATTAATTCACGGACCGGATTTAATTTATTGGATTAATTAATTATTGGACCAGACCGGGCCGAGCCTGTTTGGGTTTATATAAATAACAAACTAGGGTTTGAGGTCAAAGAGGTTTTCATTATTCTTGTTGGCACAAGAGAAAACCCTAGAGGCTGCAATCATATTCTCTGTGTGGATCACCGTTGGAGGCTGGACAATTGGACAGCTGTGGTGGCGAATCAAGGTTGTGGAACGAAAAGAAAAGCAAAAGGATTGCAGATCTGAAAAAGGTACAATCTTATCACAATTTCTATCTAAACACAAAGGCGATTCTTGGTGGGAATCGAAAATTATTTTAAATTTCGCTGTGCATGTATAAGTAGATTCCCAACAAATTTTTCTTGCAAATTTGGATGCTAATTGATGGAATGCAGAAGCGGAATTATCCAAAAATTAATTCAATAAACAAGATCATCTTAAAATATACTATATGGGCACACAACCCCACAAATATGCTAGGATCTCTATTCTAAACGTTGCCTCATTCCCTACTATTCTGAGTGGCGAAAAATACTCTCTCTCTCTCTCTCTTGGGGAAGAGGGGTCAATAACTTGAATTAATGACTTGGCCACTGGCCAGTAATAAGAAGATATATGTTCTTTGATGAGGTATGGAAAAGTGTAATGGATTCGATATCTTTTGAATTTTCAACTCAATTTGCCCTCGAGATTTTATAGAGAGAGAAAATAATAATAATAATAATAATAATAAAATAAAAATAAAACTATGAGCTCTTTTTTGACGGCAGGAAGCAGATGGGATATATATTTGACAAGGAAAATGAAAAGACGTGCAAAGATTCAACCATAAATTTGAATGATTTGCATGATATAATATTGTATTTATGATTTCATATATACAGCCACATGTGTAGTAGCTTGCACTTACATTCTATCTCTTTATTTAGAAAGAAAAATAAGAGGAAAGAGGGTAGAGGATGAGTTCCTAGTCAACATATATTACTAAAATGAACTTGCTTGACTTGCTTTTTTGTAAGCAGGACATCAATGGAATTAGGGATTATTACTCTTTTCTTTATAGACGAAATTATTGTCCATGTTGTGGATATTGTTATTGCATCCATTACTGGGATTTATTATCCTTTGTAATTCAACATGTTTTGGAGTAACAATCATGGTGCAAATCCAAGAAGTATTTTTGTCTTTCTAATTTATATATTGGGTGTTCAAATCCAATAATAGGGGAAAATTGATGATAGTAATGGAAAGATCAAACATTGGATGATCAAAGTCTCATCATGGACTCCAGGTGTCAGATATCAATATTTTCAATCTTGCACATTTTTCTTGGAATCTTTTGTTCAACGGATCTGTGACATTGCTCTCTTGGACTATGTTGCACGAACGTTTCAGCTAGGATAGTGTTTCGCGTCGGATACCGACACTAATCGGACACTCTATCTTATCATTTTTCTTTCTTTATCGGAAACATTATGTATTTTTTATTCAAAGTTATTATTAAATAGCAAATAAGTATATTTTATTCAAAATTATTATTAAATAACAAATAAGTATTCACATTTGAAGTATTTTAACAAGAAAATTTAATAACAAGTATAAAACTAAATTTATAATATATAAATGAAAAATTTAAAGATTTAATCAATGTGTTGATGACGTGTTGTGGTTTGTACACCATTTTTCCCCCCCTTTAAATTTGTGTCTATGTATCCGTGTTGGTGCTTCATAATTCTTGGATAATATTGCAAATGTATGGAATTAAACCTTGGTGTTAATTTTTCCGAAGCATGCTCTTTGTTTGTGTAAATGACAAGATATCAGGTCTTTTAGTTGCCTTTTTTGTGGTTTTTATGCACCATTCTTCTCATTCTAAAAATGGCTGCAGACATATTCTGAGTCTCGAGGTCATAATTTTGCCCTCAATGCCACTTTTGATGAAATAGATGCCACCAAGTATGATGGACTGATCATACCAGGTGGACGTGCTCCAGAATATCTTGCAATGAATGAATCTGTAGTGGAATTGGTTAAGAAATTTTCTGAGTCACGAAAGCCAATTGCCTCCATTTGCCATGGACAATTGATTTTGGCTGCAGCGGGTGTAGTTAAAGGCCAGAAATGCACAGCCTTTAATGCAGTGAAACCTGTGCTTTATGCTGCTGGTGCTCATTGGGTAGAACCAGAGACCGAGGCCTTTTGCACCAGGGATGGGAACCTTATAACTGGAGCCACATATGATGGCCACCCTGAGTACATCCGGCTTTTCATCAAGGCATTGGGAGCCAATATATCTGGTTCTGGAAAACGTATTCTATTTCTATGTGGGGTAAGTTTCAATTATCATGGCTGTAAGACTTTGAACCAAAAAAACCTAATTTCAATTTTCTTTGGCTTTTGGAAGTCAAAATTTACCTTCATAATCAACTTGGTTTGATATAAAGCAAAACTTTTTGGTCCATATATTTCTCGTAATCTTGTTAATTTTCGAGGAACTAATAAACTTTTTCAGACATTTGTTTGATCCTTATTGCACTGATAAACCAGTATAGTGGAACATTTACAGTGACGACTTCAAGTTTATTTCTTAGATTACTAAGAAATTTTCTGGTTAAAGGAGTAGATACGTTTGTAAGACTGATATTGAACTGGACCAAATCAGATTCAGAGTTCTGATAATTCAAAATCAAAGGTGAACTAATCACAACTCCTATTGAAGATGTTAAATTTTCACTTTTATAAAGCCAATACACCCCCTTCTGCTTTATAGACCTACTCTCCTTTTAGAGAGGTGAATGCATAAATTCCAGTCATTCACGTCATCCTCTCTTGGATGTTGCTGAACTAGATTATAATGCTAGTTCTGAAGATTGCTCTATCTCAAGGCATCATTATTTTGTTCTTCTGGTGAAGGATTACATGGAAGATTATGAGGTGATGGTTCCTTTCCAGTCTCTTCAAGCTCTTGAGTGTCACGTTGATGCCGTTTGCCCCAAGAAAAGTGCTGGTGATAGATGTCCGACAGCTGTCCATGATTTTGAAGGTGACCAAACTTACAGTGAGAAACCAGGCCATGATTTTACTTTAACAGCTAATTTTGAAGGTTTGAATGCTTCAAGCTATGATGCCCTGGTAATCCCTGGGGGTCGTGCTCCAGAGTACTTGGCATTGGATGAATATGTTATTCAATTGGTGAAGGAATTCAAGGAGTCTGGGAAACCAGTGGCATCCATCTGCCATGGACAACAGATTTTGTCTGCTGCTGGTCTTTTGAAGGTAGATTCTTCTTGCATTACGTCATATTAGCACACTTTTAGCTGTTTTAATCCTTGGTTTTGTGCATGTCTCCTCCATTCATTGGACTGACTAGTTTGTTACTCTTAGGGCTTGTCTGGCAAAGTACTGAATATGATTCAACAATATAATAGACAAGATTTTATTTTTTGGTACCACCTGTCATGGGACTAAAGTTTCCCACCTGAACTTTGTGACACCGTGCGGCCTTAACATTCAAGGTTTCTGCCGATCGCTGGAAACATGTTAAGTCGGCCTAACCCCAACATTAACCCAACCACGAATTTTACCTTTTATTTTTGGGTTTTTAACTGTCCAGTACTTTTCATTTCACCCTGCCAAACATGCAAGAGTGTTTTTAAGTCAAAAAAAGAACTTTTGCATATATATGTCTATATTGGGAGCTTATTTATTATCTTTGTAGTTAATAGGATCACGTAGTCATAATCTAAGGTTTGCCATCATGATGAAGCATTTATATATTCATCTTGAGTCGGAAAGGAATGCTCTTTAATAGCTTTTTCATTTCAAGATGCCCACTATCCATAAATCTTGCTGTACATGTTCATTTATTTTGGTGGTTTCAAAATGTTCACTGCATTTTGCACAATATTGTTGATTAAATTTATTTCACTTGAGAAATTTATGAATTCTGAAGATATACCAAAACTTTATGAAGCATATTACCTCTTCAATATTTGTTCTCCTTTTACTGACAAACCAACATTTACATTAGAAACGTAATATTTCTTGAAAACACCACTCTTAATAGTGCTCATTTAACTAAATATGAGCTCTAAGACTTATCTATCAAAAAAATATGAGGTCCAAGACTTTGTCCAACAGCTGAAATTCTTAATTATAATTTGAGGCCATGCATTGCCAATTTGTTTAATGAGAATTTATAATCACTAAGCACTCTTAGAATCTGCTCTTTGTAAATTGTAATAAATCCATCATTGTACCGCTAATTTACGTTCCATCAAAAGTTCCATTTTATAACCTCATGTAATAAGAACTAGAATGATCAAGAAGCATAGCTTTTTCCCTCCTAAATGTTGGGGCTAAGAATCCTACTCCCACTTCCCATGACCCAAAAATATAAAATGGAACGAGTGAATTTAGTATTTGAAGTACAGATTTCCTTTTAACTTTCTATTATTGAAACTAAGAGGTAAGATGACTCATATTTTTGAGGAAGTATTTTTAGTTAATTACATACCGTTAACATTTCTCTTGAATTTGGGTCAGATGTAAACATTTGATCGCCACCCTCCTTCATTGATCTCCACCAGTTCTTCGAAATATTGATTTATTGATAGAAGCATGAATATCTGTGATTTGAGAAACTCGATAGTATGACGTCTTATGTCATTATATATCTCCTGGGAGTATAAAATTTAGTAGTTTAGCTTATAAGTCATTTCTCTTAGAGAAAATAAGTAATGCTCAATTATTAGACATTTGTGATTACACCAAGTTGCATGGAGCAATCCTATCTATCCACTTGCTTTTGAGCAGTGTACAAAATTGCTTATTCATGATGAGTTCTGCATTAGCGTTTTCTGTAGCATGAGGTAAATGAGTATTGAGGTTTCATTTCTATTAATTTCTTTATTCATTTGTTGTCCTAGTTGATCTGCAATTGCACTTACATTCCACGTGTCATTTGAATGAAGAAGTATAGGAGCTAACTCCACAAGTTTAAGAACTAACTTCATAATTTCTAAATAGATTCACGTATGTACTCAGAATAAAAATGTGAATGAGTTGAACTTGATGAATTAGTACTTAAGAGACAGCTTCAAGATGACATCTGATATTTATATTGTTGATGTGAAAAAAGCCTTTTCACGTCTTGTTTCTCCAGCTTAGTGCTCCTTTTAAGATTTTCAATTTCTTGTTTGTACAAGAAATGCAAAGTTGGCTTGTGAAAACAGTGTCTACCAAAGTTATCATATTTCTAAGACCATTTCCTATTATGTTTTCTGTTTCCTTCTCCATGATGGCTTTTTGTCGGGTATGCTTAACGTAGGTCTCTCAAGATTAAATTCCTCACGAAATACTATAAAAATTGGTAATGCATGTTTCTGTGAATCTAGATATTTTTTCATTCTCCACTATGTCAATACATCTGGGCAGTTCTTAACGATTAGATTGTTCATACTTGCTAATTCTCAATGCGATTAATGTCTCCATCATAATATCTTTGTAGGGTAAGAAATGTACTGCATATCCCGCAGTGAAACTCAATGTTGTTCCATCAGGGGCAACATGGTTAGAACCTGAACCAATTGACCGGTGCTTCGCTGATGGAAATTTGGTGACTGGAGCAGCTTGGCCTGGTCATCCTGAGTTCATATCACAGTTCATGGCACTGCTTGGTATTCGCGTATCTTTCTAGTTATGTTTGTTTCTTACTCGATATCTTATATATATGTTGCAAAATGAGATTTTCGAATAATGCCTGTACCTGTGAGATAATCTAAGTTGTGTTTGCTTTTTATACTTGGATAATGGATTTGCTAATACTTTTTAATTTGAGTTCCATTCTTTGTGTAAATTAACCATACATTACAACAATAGTGTTGCTGTTTTGTGGTTGATATTTCATTAAACACCCATTTGAGCCCCCACTCCCCCCCTTTATTTATTTATTTATTAGTAATTTTTTGAAGATTGTGTGGTTGAAGAGTAGGAAGATTGTGTAATAAACTTTAGAAGGGTGTTTGACACCTCTTTTTATGAAAAATGAATTTTAGAATAGTAGATTGATAGAGAATGTGTGGATGAAAAATAAGAATAAGTTTGATTTACATGTAATATTATTTTAATGAAAAATGTAGTTAAAAAGAAGAGATAAAAATGAGAATCAAACGGGGCCTAGATGTTGTATTACTTACTCCACCAAAGTTAAATGATGGTAGAGTGCATAAAAGCACTTTATCAATCATATCATAACTAATCTTCTACGGGATTATGTGGAACACTAGAAAAGAAATAATACTTTACGATAATGTGTTTAGTATTGTTGTATAATTGTCAATTAAGTTTGTTTCATCCATTCCATTCTGGAGACAATTGAGTGGTGAAATTTTTTAAATTAAAAGGGTGTTTGGGAGCCATTTTTATGTAAAAATGCATTTTGGAATAGTTAATTGACGGGATTGAAAAATAAGGAAATTTTTTTTATTTACGTGTAATATTATTTTAATGAAAAATGTGATTAAAAAGAAGAGAGAGAAAAATGCATTTTGAGAAAAATGGGTACCAAACGGGGTCTAAATTAGATTTGAATGATCAAATTTGAAATTAAATTAAGCCCCCATTTGATTCCGGTTCTTTGATCACAAAAATGAAAAATATGATCGTTATCCATCATATCAAGTCGTTATATTTGATTTTTTATCTCTTGTATGGTTCTCGTAATAATTATATTTTTTATTTTCATTCTTAGAAAAATGGGAATCAATCGAGGCATAAAATTTAGGCTTTGTTTGTTTATTATTATATCACATTATTTTTTCTATAGTACTCATTTCAATCATACATTTTTCATTAAAATAATATTATACATAAATAAAAAATTGTTCTTTCTTTTTTGGCTATATATTCTAACATCAATCACTATTTTATATTACATTCTTCACAAATAATGGGGCACAAAAACCTCCTTAGTTACTCAAATTAAAATTTGAATAGTAATAATTAAATATAATCCATAGCCAGTGGATAGCATTATACAAAAAGCTGAGGATTTCACGAGGTGTATGCAATCATGGGTATTTAAAGATCACTTTTCATATTTCAAGGTCAAAGTTCATTTGTGCTGTTTTCAAGTTTTAAACATTATAGTTAAATATTAAAATCTTTTAATTAAATGATGCACGCATCTCGTGAAATTAGCATTCATATACGGGATTATTGTAACTTCCTTAGTTATTGGAAACCCCCCAATTCTTCTCAAACGCAATTTCCGTTATTTCCTTACTTAACTTTCACAATTTTTCAAATTCATCTTTCAGGTAGCTGCACACGATCGTTGCAGTGACTCTCGTAGTGGCATCAGCGTAATCGTGCTCGGACGTCAGCTGCACGACTGGTTGCATCGCTGCTGGGAGTGGCTCCAACTCCAGCTCCAATCTACAGGTAGTGATTTCGAGGTATTGTTGGTGTGTTTGGGATTTTGTTGGTTATATTTTTTGATCTTGGTGGTGGTTGTAGTGGTGGTGTTGATTGTGTGATCTGATTTGTTGTTGGTTTTTGGGTGATGGTAGTTGTGATGTTGGTTGTCGACGGTAAGGCAGTGGTGATAGTCGTGGAAGTGGCCACGGTGATTGTCAATCTCTCCTCTTCCTTCTCCATGTTCGTTGTCATCGGTTCGACGAGAAACACCGCTACAGATTCGCCTTGGTGGTGGTGGTAGTTGGTGATGTTCCACCTCTTTCCTTTTCTCTATCGTCACTGTGAGTAAAAATGCGCAGTTTGGTGAGAATGATACTGCAATCGACTTGACTTGGTGGTCGTGGTGTTGTTGTGGCCGGGATAGTGATTGTGACCAAGTATTGTGGTGACTATTTATCTATGACCTTAAAATTCGATCATTTTGTGACTAAAAAAGTAATCTGTGACTATCAAATTTGAAAATATGTGACATGTGACTTATAATTTTTTGGATTTGTGACAATTTGGGACATATAACTTGTTGATCTGTGATCAAATTTTTTGATACGTGATTTCGAAATAATCTGTGATTTGTCAAAATTTTGATTTATAATCTCGAAAAAAATTTGTGATCAAATAATTTGATAATATATGACCAGTAAATAAATCTTTGATCTATAATTGTAAATTTGTGACCATTAATAATATAATTGTGATTTTATTATCATTATTTAATAAATATTTTTAATTAATTAGTTAAAATCTGATTTTTGCACTAATAAAATTTGTAATTTGAATTTTGAATTACGCATAGTTAAAATTTGATTTATGAACTTTTCCCTTTCACGAGGCACTTGATTGTTCACTTTTATGTATTGTCAGATTTGTGAACTTTTCCCTTTCACGAGGCACTTGATTGTTCACTTTGTCAGATTTGTGAACTTTTGCCTCGTGACTTTTATGTATTGTCAGGTAAAGCCGTAAAGGACACTTTATGAACCCGGTCCGACCTTCTGTGGTCCACTTTGTCGATATTGATATTCAACGTGTAAAGTATGAAGCATACTTTCATGTAATTAGACGGAAATAAAATTCTTAATATTTTATGATCCAATCTTTTTAAATCAAATATATATTCAGTGTGGATTAATATATAGAACAGTCTAATAAATTTTAAATGATATAATTTGTATATTATATTTTTAGTTTTGTTTCTGAAATGGTTAAATAATTTTAAATATTTTTTATAAGTAAATTAACATTTAAAATACGTTCAAATTCTAATTATATTAGTCAAATATTTTATGATCCAATCTTACTATTATTATTATACTTTTTTCTATAGTAACTTAAACTTTTAGATAAAATTATTCAATAATATTATATAATCACACAAAGACACGTACTAAGATTTCATAATCTAATTGTGAACATGTCAAACTTTTAATGAACAATAAATTTGATTTGCTGATACATATATTTAAAGATAATATCTGAAATAATAAATAAAATATTTATAAAAAAACGACAAACAGAAAAACAGAAAAGTTTGATTGTGAATCTCTTTCACGCTCCGTGGAGTTTGTCCGCTTCTATTAATTTTGTACCTTTTTATTTTATTATGCAGGTGATGAAGATAAGGTTTAAGGGGAACAGAAAAGGAATCTGAATAGCCCAGAGTCACTCATATGATATAATATCACATTTATTTATTATTTATGGTCATTGCTCTTATCTTTTGCCCCAGTTTTTCTTATCCATAATTTTTACACAACAATTTCTAATTCTCATCTGCATAGATAGATAGGTATTTTTTTTTGTGTTATCATCAGCAGTAGCATACTTATATATAACTGCATCGTGGATCATTGGAATGAGCCAAGAATATATGATGATGGTCATAAAAATGGAGTCTTTTTTCAACCCGGAAAATAAGAATGGGATAATGTATGAAGAAAAATTTCAAGATTCTGTTTCATGAACCTCAAGTAGTACTCTTGAATCTTCAGAATCTGATTTGTTTGAAGAAGTAAACTCATCTGATCAGCATCCAAATGCAAATGGCCCTTTAAAAGACGTCTTCTTTGATACAACAACTGCCCATCAAGTAAGTTATTGTTGTTCATTTGAGTAAAAGTTTACTTATAAGTAAATATGTTAATTGAATGGTTTTTGGTTTGCAGAAGAGGGCTTTCCGAACATTACAGTGGCAAATCACAATCTTTTACTTCTTTATCAAACATGAGGTGCTTAGGCCACACCAAATTTAAAGTAAGTTATGTACTATTTTGCACCAAACTGAGATTCATCTTATAATCAATGCATCAAAAAGAAGTTGAACTAAAATGTTGGTTTAATTAATTATTTTTACAATGGTAGACCATTTCGAGTATATTCTATTAGCTAGATAATAATTATCTTATTTTTCTTGAATGACGAATTGAGTCGACGGAGCAATACCAAGTGATGTTCGTGAAAAGATGGAATCTTTCCAAAACATTGATATAATTGTTTGAACTTGAAAGTCTAAAATATGCATGCAATATCATTTGATGACTCTATGACCGGGAATGGAGCCTGTATGTGCTCATTGGTTAATATATCGATTGGCTTACTGAGCAATAAGGAGGTTGTTGTTCAAACATATGAGAGTTATCTAGGATATTTGTACTAAATCATCTTCACCTCTAGATTGGATTTCATCAAAATTTCAACCATTCAACCTATGCTACAAATCTTATATTGTAGATAGGATATTTGGGATAAACCATCTTCAACATTATATTAGATTTCATAAAGATCTCAACCGTTCAATCTATACCGACAAATCTTATTTCATCTATCATTTTTCTATAAAATATCACACCATAATCATTGGATCTAACATTTATTTTTTTTCGAAATTTTACCTTCACTTTCTCAATAATTCCCTAACAACAAGTTCTGTTCTACGAAGTTCTTCATACTCACATAAAAAAGACGTACACATATGTTGAGTCTACCTTGATATATCCAAATGTGCAATTATTATTATAAACTAGTAAATGGACCAATTTTGGTCTCGAAGAGAGAGTGAATACGACGAGAAACTTCCTTCATTTATCGATCTTACTTGATCTAAAAGATCCCAAATGAAGTAAATGCAAGTTATTAACATTGTAGTTAGTAAAATGTAGGGATATATTTGACAAGTGAAACTTCTGAATTCAAGTGGTGCTCAAATGAAGATATTGTGAGGATTATTCGCAATATTTGCTAACAAATATTAAGTTCAATACATAATTTTGTATAATTTATTTTTTATAGCAAATATATTCATCCAAATTGTGCTTCAGATGAACATATTTTAAATGTTAATTTTACTTATAGAAACATTTAAAATTATTGAACCATTTCAGAAAAAAGCTAAAAAATAAATTATACAAATTATGTCATTTAGAAGTAGTAGAGAAATTATGTATTGAACTT